CACATTAGAATCACCTGGGGAGTTTAAAAATATCCTAATGCCCTGGCCTCACCTCAGAACACCTATATATCAGAATTTCTGGGGATGGGATCGAGGCATCAGTCTTTTTAAGGTTCCAGATGATTTCAATGTGCAGCCATAGTTGAGAACTCATGGGGTAAAGCAATTTGGTGAAAATGATGAATTCAACCACGAGGTGGCAGCATCACAATACAGTGCAGATCCCAGCCCCTCTATTGAGTGGACATGAAAATTTGTATATCTAATACTAATTAATAGCATTTTGAGGGCCTTCCAGCTAGACACAGCATTGACTTTTTTCCTGCTGTTCTCTTTTTGCCCAAGAAAACTTTGAAATAGGTTTATTCCAACAGGTTAAATTAGCAGGAACTATATTAGGTGGGAAAGTGCAAAGAACATAGATTTTGTATTCAGATAGATTTGGGTTTAAATATTGCCTCTCCCACTTGCTGAGAGATCGTTTAATCCCTCTGTGTATCGGTTGCATGCTAGAAGAGGAGGGTTGTCATAGCACTAAATGAGATGATATATGAAAACCAGCTTTGAATGAATGGTGCTAAGATGAAGATGCCGAGGAGAAAAATGTTAATGCTGTGATAGTCACACACAGTCTAGGAAAACCCAGGACACCACACTTTTTTGTTTGTGGTCTTTCTTTTCTGCTTGTGGGTCTTTTCCTTCCCTGTGTGTCTTATATTTTGGTTTCCACTGGTGATTATTTCATGCAAATAAACATGCTCTAGCCACTTTCATTTCAAAGAACAAAAAATCAAGCCAACATCTTTTACTACACCTCTACCTTGAGCAATGGATCTACCTTCCACGTTTATAGCCACATTTCTTTAAAATATTAGTTCTTACTCCCCACAGTTGTTACACACAGTCCTTGTTACCCACAGTTGTTACTTTTCAAACCTAGAAACTGCTTTCTCTAAAATCACCAGTGGCCTCCTAGGTGCCAAGTCCAAAGAAAATTGGCATTTTATGTATCTGTCCATTCAAGTAGGCTGACATTGCCTCTTCCTGCCATCTCTCCCGCTTTGTTTCTCTGGCGACAGCACTTGATTTTCCTCCAGCCTCCATCGCTGCGTCCGAGTTGTTTTCTCTTCCTTTAGAATGATGTATCTCAGGAGTTCTCTCCTTATAGCCCTGATTTCTTTTCTCCCTGGGAATCTTATCTTCACCACAGCCTGAACTCTACCATAAGTGGCTCAGATCTATACATTGTCCCACAGAGCTGTTCTGAGTTGCGGATCTGTAAATCTAAGTCACTGGAATTTAAATGGGCATCTCAAAATTTACATGTCGAATATCAAACTGGGCATCTCTCTTATTAACACAAAATCATCTCCTCCCCGCCTTTCAATTCATGGCACTACTTTCCACCCAGATGATTGAACCAGACCCCTAGAAGTCATTCTTCACTGCTCCCTTAGCCCCCTTCATATCGAAGTTGTCAAAGCTTGTCAATTCTTCACCATTACCACTTCCCCCTCCCTGTGCCACTGAGGTTACCCTGGAGATGGGGTGGCCTGGAGACTGAGTCTGCTGGAGTGGCCGAGAACCTGGAGCTGTGAGATCGATGGTATAAAGCTAATAAATTTGCCAGCTAACATCTCCGAAAACTGCAGAACAGAATGAAAAGTAGGGAAATCTGAATTTAACTTCCTTGTCAAACCACTGAAGCATCATTTAATTAAGCTTTCTAATTACACTGAGTACACATTATAATTAAAATGTGCATTGCTAGATTTTGAAGTTTCCTCTGGTCACTTAGCGCTATGATGTCTTCAAGCAACATTAGCATATTTTATATATACCCCGTGTATATATTCCATATATAACACTGTGGAGCGCCTGGACTTCCCGTACCCACTGCGGGACGTGCGCGGTGCGGCCTGGGCGAGGGTGACGAGGGCGGAGCTTGGGGTGCCCCCAGCGGTGGGTGGCTTGGAGTCACCAGCAGTAGAAGCCCTCTTGCTGAAGCTCCACCCCATGGCTGTAGCCCCGCCCCACGATCAAAGTACATCCCTGTGATTGAAGCCCCGCCCACAGCTGAAGCCCCGCCCATGCTTTCTTCCCCCAGAGGAGCCGCTGCTGCCACTGTTGGTGGCGGGCGCCGTCTTTGGCTCCAATCCTTTCCCACCTTTGACCACAACTCTGCCCTTTTTTTCACTCCTTCTCAGTGTTCATTCCTCATGATCCTCAATCCCCACCTTGACACTGGACTCACCTCCAACTCGACCTGTCCCTCAAGACTCCCATCCTGAATTTAACCCTCTTCTGTGACCCCCTGACCCCTAACCACAGTCTTTTCAATCTTGGCTACCTTTTCCACTCATTATAAGGCTAACTCCATCCTCCTTGACCTCTGAAATCATCTCTGTAACCACTCCTGTATGCCTGTGACCCTCACCTATCCCATAACCTACTTTAACCCCTGACCCCATTCCTGTCCCTTCTCTGATTCTACCTTAGTACCCTGGCCTTCACCTGTCATCATCCCTGACTACACCCCCCGAGACCTTGACCCCATCCTGCAACCCCTCTTTGGAACCTGTGTCACTACTCTGTCCCCTGCACCTACTGACCTGAGATCCCTGACCCCAACTCCAGACCTCTGACCTCACCACTATGACCTCTGCTCTGACCCCACCCCAAATCCTCCTCCCAGGCTGGATACCTCCAGTGTCCCCTCTCACATCCCCCCTTCCTGTTGTCCCCATAGGAACATTGCCAAGGGTGAGAGCCTGATGGGGGAGGTGGCCACAGACTGGATGGACACGGAGTGCCCAGAGGCCAAGTGACTGAAGGTGCTGCCCCCTCCTTTGACCCCTGCCCTCGGAGTCCTGGGTGGGGGCCCAGTGGTAAGTGAGAGAGCCCAGGGGAAGTCTCAGCTCTCCCCACCTCCCCAGCTTTGTGACCCCATTTTCTTCTCGGCATGTCTCTGGCCTGGAAGGGAGGAAGGAGATTTATCATCGGGACCCACAGGGTCTCTCCGTGCAGGATGAAGTTCTCCCCCCACCGTCTTGCCCCTCTTTAACCAGGCCTCTGCCCCCAGGCCAGCTTGGGGTCTTCCTGGAGGAGACCCCCTTGGCCCAGACAGCGACTCTGCTTTCTCTCTGTTGCTTCTGACTTGATCAACCTGAACGTGCTCCAGCTGGTCCTGAGCACCGTTTCCTCTCCTGGGGCCACCTCCGTGGGCTCTGTATTAGTCTGCTCCAGCTGCCATAACAAAATCCCACAGACGGGGTGGTGTAAACCACAGAAACTTATTTTCTCACAGCTCTGGAGGCTAGAAGTCCAAGATCAAGGTGGTGTCAGGGTTGGTTCCTCGTGAGGGCTCTCTTCCTGGCTTGCAGACAGTCACCTTCTCATTGTGTCCTCACGTGGCTGTTCCCCTGTGTGCATGCAGAGAGAGGAATCTCTGGTGTCTCTTCCTCTTCTTATAAGGACACCCTCCCATTGGATTAAGGCGCCAACCTTCTGACCTCATTTAACCTTAATTACCTCATTAAATACTGTACCTTCAAATACAGTGACATGGGAAGTTAGGGTTTCAGCATATGATTTTCGAGGGGGCACAATTCAGTCCGTAACAGACTCCTACTAGCATCACCTGGACACATGCTGAATGTCTCTGTGCACACAAACCCTATTATTTCATCTTTTTGAGGATCCTATATGGTAGCTATTAACATATACCTCGATTTTTGAGCACCTCTCCCCTGCCCGTACTTTAATGTTTGTGAAGTGGGGACATCTATTAAAATTGACAGCTAAAGAAATCCGCTTGCCCCAGACTTTTTTTTCTTTCTTATCCCAAAGTAGGTATTAAAGAGACATCCCGGTGTGCTTTACACACATCTTAGCATTGTGAGTGGCAGCGTCATCCTGATCCTGCCAATGAGAAGCTCAGAGCTCTAATGTGATTTTTCTAGGGTCACATAGTTACCTTAGCAGGGTCAGAACTCGAACACACATTGAATACTGTCCCATCCTCTCACACCCTTTCTGTTTAGCTGTCCCTCACCTGGCTCTCTCCTTTCAAATTTCCTGCCTACATCCTTAAATTCAAGTCTGGCTAGATCAGGCTCTGTGTTTGGGATCCTAAGGCTCTGAAAACCCCAGGCAGGCTAGTTAAGCATATTCTGTCTGGTTTCCATACATCACTCATGCCTTTTGGACCACAAGTCTGAGCCTGATCAAGCTCCTGCTAGGGGTGGGCCCAGGTGCTGGGCTTGTAAAGGTAAATAGATTTATGTGTGAGTATTTGATCTGTTATGTTTGGGTGCCATGTGGGGGCTCCATGTGACGTTTTTGTTTTTGCACCTGGACTGTACAGGGATCCGAACCCCTGACCCTGGTGTTATAATATCACACCCTAACCAACTGAGCTAACCTGCCAGCCTCCATGTTACTTCTTAATTGTGGGATCCTGGGCTCTCTCCCCTTCCCTACTTCTCTCCCACCCATTTTCCTCTTTCCCAGATTAATACTGATCCTTGAAGGACCCCCCCCTTCCGCCTATGCATTTCTCTTACCAGTGATTTGTAGTTTCCGGAGTACAAGTTTTGCATTTCTTTTGTTAAATTTAATTCTGAATAATTTATTCTCAATGCAACCTTCAATGGGATTGTTCTTTTAATTTGATTTTCAAGTGTGTTTGCTGATGGATGGTATGCTCTGTGCCTCTTTGTGAATTCCCCACTTTGGGTTCCCAGCCTCTCCCTCTTTCCAACCCAGACTGAAATCCCATTTCTTCCTCTCATTAACTCCTTGAGCTCCAGATGGTCGATTTCCTATTTCGCTATCTTTAAAAGAAGCAGGATGTGAATGGTTTCCCAGGGCCTAGTGTGCGTCTCCGTGAGAGAAGCCTGTGGGAATGCCCCGTCCTGTCCCTGGTAGTGCCTCACACCACCTCCAAAGGGTAAGGCCTGAGAACTCAGTCCTTGTCCCTTCAGGTAGAAGAGCCTGGCATGGGGGCCGAGGAGGCTGTGGATTGCCGCCAGTGGACTCAACACCACCTGGTTGCTACTGACATCCGGGCGGCACCAGTCATGGCACTGACACCCCTGCAGGGTGACGCAGATACCAATGGCATGGATGTCAACGTGTGTGGTCCAGGTCAGTGATGGGTGCCCCTCCCTGTAAGATGCCCCTCACCCCTCCTGCTTGTGAGAGGTTACCTCTGGGTCTGTGTTCTGGGGAGAACTGGTGGGTGTCTTGGCTTCTGTAGGGGTGTGTGTCCATTGGTTGTAAGTGACAAAAACCCAACTCAAACTAGCTTAAGTCAAACAAAAGACCTACTGGGTCAGGAAACTGACAGTAGTGGGCACATTTGGATCTAGGACTCAGTCTTCCATTCTCTGCTCCAGGATGACAAAACCTTTCTAGCTGCACCAGCGAAAGTCCCAGGATGTGTTCTGATTGGACTGCTTAGGGTCATATACACATTCTTGAGCCAATCAGTGTGGCCAGGGAGCTGGAATATGCAAATTGACCAGGCCTGGTCCACATGCCTGTCCCCAGCCAGGGACAGGGTTGGGCTTTACCCAGGGTTTGGTGATGGAGAATGGGATGTAAATGGCTCCATAGGGAAAAATCAGGGCAAATACCCATGCAGAGTGTAGTGGATCGTGATGTCGGGATCCTCTGTGATAAATCACATGCCCACAAATTCTCATCCCGGGTGTGGGCGTGCAGATGGGAGGACTGGCCACTCCCTCTCGCTCTCCCTGTGCCCACTTGCTTCTGATATGGTGCGCTCAGTAGCATTCCCTGGATAGGCACCTGCACCCATGTCCCTTCTGACATACCCTCATCCCCGCAGATGGCTTCACCCCCCTAATGCTGGCCTCCTTCTGTGGGGGGGCCCTGGAGCCAATGCCGACTGAGGAGGACGAGACAGATGACGCATCAGCCAGCATCATCTCGGACCTAATCTGCCAGGGGGCCCAGCTCAGGGCGCAGACTGACCACATGGGCGAGACCGCCCTGCACCTGGCTGCCCGCTATGCCCGGGCCGATGCGGCCAAGCATCTGCTGGATGCCGGGGCGGACACCAATGCCCAGGACCACTCAGGCCGCACCCCCCCTGCACACGGCTGTCACTGCCGACATCGAGGGGGTCTTCCAGGTGACATAGGGCTGTCCCTTTGGACTTCAGAGATGGGGCGGGCATCAGACACTCCTGCATTCGAGCCCCGATTCTGTGTTTTAGACCTCGTTTTTCTCATTTGGAAAATGGGGATATATGGAGTATGGTGTCTGGGGAGTAGCTGCTTCCTGAACTTCATCAGTTTCAGGGGTGTGGCATTTGGGGACTTTAGGGGTGCTCCTGGTCCCGTGGATACTTGCCATGACTCCCCCTGCTGTGTCCCCTCTCTCCTAGATTCTCATCCGGAACTGCTCCACGGACTTGGATGCTCGCATGGCCGATGGCTCGATGGCACTGATCCTGGCGGCCCGCCTGGCAGTGGAGGGCATGGTGGAAGAGCTCATTGCCAGCCACGCCGATGTCGATGCTGTGGATGAGCTCGGTAGGCTGACAGAGGAAGTGGTGGGTGGGAGCTGGGAGGGTGTCACCTGGGCCCTGACTGTCGTGTTGGTGTAAACACACACCCATGTTGAAACCAGTTACAGAAGCCCACGCACACATAACCAGGCTTCAGTGTGGACTTTCACTCATGCAGGGCAGCTGCTAGCCCATAGGGTGCCTCAGGGATTTAGAATAAGGTCCCTGCCAAGGCCCTGCATTTCCTTCTGCCTCGTTAGAAGAACTCAATCTACTGCCACCTGCTGGACAGTTATTGTAACACATTTGCAAATGGGCCAAATCTACATGTGATGGGAACTTTCTGGAGGTCGCTTGCTTGCAGAACCCGACCTGTGTGGATTCACCACAACCTGACATGTGGGGTCGGATCATTTTTGGTTGTGGGGATCTGTCCTACGCACTGAAAGCTGTTGAGCAGAATCCCTGGCCTCAACCCACTAGATGCCAGTAGCACCCCACCATCCAGTTGGGACCACCAAAAATGTCTCCAGACATTGCAAAATGCCCCCGGGGGTAAATCGCTCCTGGCTGAGAACCAAAGCTCTAGAGCAGTGATGACCAATAGCATTTTCTGTGATGATGGAAATGTTCTCTGCACTTTCCAATTGAGCCCTTGAAATGCAGCTGGAGCAAATGAAGAACTAAATGTTTTAGTTCATTTAATTTTTGTTGTTGTTGTTGTTACTGTTCTTTTTTTGGCAGCTGGCTGGTGCTGGCATCTGAACCCTTGACCTCAGTGTTACAAGGCGGTGCTCTAACTAACTGAGCTAACTGGCCCCCACACTTAATTTTTTAAATCTTTGTTTTCCCTGTTTTTCTTTTTTTTAAAAACAGCTTTATTGAGATATAATTTACATACCATGCAATTCACCTATTTAAAATATTAATATATTAAAGTATAAAATTCAATGGATTTTATTATAATCACCGAGTTGAACAATTATAATCACAATCAATTTTAGAACATTTTCATCATCTGAAAAAAAACCTCATTCTTAGCCATCACTTCTCTATTGTCCCCAACCCCTGGCAACCACTAATGTCCTTTCTGTCTCTATGGATTTGCCTACTCTGGGCATTTCATCTGAACTGAATCATCCAGTGTGTGGTCTTTTTTTGATTGGCTTCTTAGCATAGCATTTTCAAGGTTCGCCAATGTTGTAGCATGTGTCAGGGCTTCACTTTTTTAAGGCTGAATACTGTTCCATCGTATGGACATACCCCTCAACCGTTCATTCATTGATGAGCATTTGGGTTGTTTCTAGTTTTGGCTATTATGAGTAATGCTGCTATGAACATTCTTGTACAAGCTTTTGGCTGGATATATGTTTGCATTTCTCTTGGGTGTATACCTCGGAGTGGAACTGTTGAGTCATATGGTAACCCCGTGTTTAACCTTTTGAGATACCACCAGGCTGTTTTCCACAGTGGCTGCACCATTTTACATTTCCACCAACAGCGCCTGAGGGTTCCAACTTGTGCCCATCCTTGCCAACACGTGTTATTATCTTTTTGATTAGAGCCTTCCTAGTGAGTGTGAAGTGGTATCTCACTGTGGTTTAGATTCGCGTTTACCAGATGGCTGGTGATGGTTAGAGTCTTTTCATGTGCTTACTGGCCGTTTGTCTATCTTCTTTGGAGAAAAGTCTATTTGTATCTTTTGCTTATTTTAAAATCGGGTTATCTGTCTTTTTATTATTGAGTTATAAGTGTTCTTTATGTGTTCTAGATAGGTCTCTTACCAGATATATGATTTACAAGTATTTTCTCCTATTTTGTAGATTTTATTTTCATTTTCTTAATGGTGTCCTGAGAAGCACAAAAGTTTTAATTTGGATGATGTCCAATTTTCTGTTTTATTATTGTTGTTGTTGCTTATGTTTTTGGTGTCATATCTAAGAATTCTTTGCCTAATTCAAGGTCATGAGGATTTATTCCTATGTTTTCCTCCTAGATGTTGTATGGTTTGAACTCTTACTGTTAGGTCTTTGATTCATTTTCAGTTAATTTTTGCTTATGGTATGAGGTCAGGGTCCACCTTTCTTCTTTTGCCTGTGAATATCCAATTGGTCCAGCACAATTAGTTGAGAAGACCATTCTTTCCCCATTACATGGTCCTGGCACCAGTTTTATTTAATTTTTATTAATTTAAATCTAAAGAACCACATGTGACTGGTGGCTCCTGCATCAGACAATACAGCTCTAGAATCAACTGAGGTCCGAACACTTCCTCCTCCCCTATCATGGAGAGTTGTGTGTGCACATGTGCACACACACACACTCGTTTCACTCAGTATTATTCTTTCAAGGTCCATCCATGTTGTTGCAAATGGTAGTATTTCATTCGTTTTTATAGCTGAGTAGTATTCCATTGTGTAGATATACCACATTTTCCGTATCCACTCATCCGATGATGGACATTTGGGTTGATTCCAGCTCTTGGCTATTGTGAAGAGTGCTGCAATGAACATTGGGAAACAAGTATATCTTCGACTTGATGATTTCCATTCCTTTGGATATATTCCCAGCAGTGGGATAGCTGGGTCGTATGGTAGATCTATCTGCAATTGTTTGAGGAACCTCCAAACCATTTTCCATAGGGGTTGCACCATTGTGCATTCCCACCAACAATGTAAGAGAGTTCCTTTTTCTCCGCAGCCACGCCAGCATTTATCTTTCGGTGTCTTTTGGATTTTTGCCATCCTAACTGGGGTGAGATGGTATCTCAGTGTGGTTTTGATTTGCATTTCCCGGATGCTGAGTGATGTTGAGCATTTTTTCATATGATTGTTGGCCATTTGTATATCTTCTTTAGAGAAATGCCTGCTTAGCTCTTTTGCCCATTTTTTGATTGGGTTGCTTGTTTTTTTCTTGTAAAGTTGTTTGAGTTCTTTATATATTCTGGATATTAGTCCTTTGTCAGATGTGTATTTTGCAAATATTTTCTCCCACTCTGTTGGTTCACACACATACATACACACACACACACACATACACACACACACACTCTCACACACACTCACACAAAAACAAACAAACAGCAACAACAACAACATCAAAAGAGCAAGGGTCCCCTGGGGAAGGCTGGGCTGGGGCCACAGGGAGCCCGGGAACAGGGCAAGAAGCTGACCCTGTCCTGCCCTGGCCCCCTGGCCGAGAGCTCGGTCACGCTGTCACCTGTGGACTCACTGGACTCTCCACAGCCCTTTGGTGGACCCCCTGCTTCCCCTGGTGGCTTTCTCCTTGAGGGGTCCTACACGGCTGCCACCACCACGGCTGTGTCTCTGGTGCAGCTCGGTGGCCCAGGCTGGTCGGGTCTAGTGCGACAGCCCCCTGGGGGCTGCTTGCTCAGCCTGGGCCTCCTGAACCCTGTGGCTGTCCCTCTTGACTGGGCCCGGCTGCCCCCACCTTCCCCACTGGGCCCCTCGTTCCTGCTGCCATTGGCACCAGGACCCCAGCTGCTCAACCCTGGGACCCCCATCTCCCCCCAGGAGCAGCCCCCACCTTACCTGGCAGCTCCAGGACACGGCAAGGAGTACCCGGCAGCTGAGGCCCATGGCAGTCCCCCAAGACTCGCTTCCTGTGGGTCCCCAGCGAGCACCCTTACATGACCCCATCCCCCGAGTCCCCCGAGCATTGGGCCAGCCCATCGCCACCCTCCCTCTCGGACTGGTCCAACTCCACGCCCAGCCCAGCCACCGTCACCAAGGCCTCGGTCACCATCACCGGGGCACCGCCTACCCAGCCACTCCCCTTGTCTGTCCCAGGCTCCCTTGCACAGGCTCACACCCAGCTGGGACCCCAGCCCGAAGTCACCCCCAAGAGGCAGGTGTTGGCCTGAGCCGCTCCCCAGTTCCTGGATCTTGGGGGTCTGAAAAGTCTTCCCTCCCACTTCTTTCCTCCCTCTGTATTGTTAGTATTGCTTGTTCTCTCCTCTCTGTCACCAACCCTCCTTCACCCCTGCCTTGAAGTGGCTGAGACAGGTCACGGCCCAGGGCCTCAGTCTTCCTTATTTATAACGGGTGGGGCTGCCCACCCCCCCTCTCAGTCGTGTGATGAGTCTGGGGTCTCCTCCTGCCCCCACCTTCTCTCTTCCTTCCTTCCTTTCTTGTCTCCTGTGGCCTCTCATTCCTCACACTCTGACATGAGTGAATTATTATTCTTTTCCTTTTACTTTTTTTTGTACATTTTGTATAGAAACAAATTCATTTAAACAAACTTATTATTATTATTTTTTACAAAATATATATATGGAGATGCTCCCTCCTCCCTGCAAACCCTCCAGTGCCCCCGTGGGGTGAGTCTGTGGGCCCACTCGGCCAAGCTGGATTCTGTGTACCGAGTACACAGGCATGACTGGGATCCGTGTACCGAGTACACGACCCTGGTACGCACCAAGTAGGCACCCTTGGGCACACCCTCTGGGGCCAGGGGTTGGGGGAGACTTGGGAGCCTCCTCCCTACCCCACCTCCCTCACTTCACTGCATTCCAGATGGGACTCGCTCTGCAGACTTTCTGGGGAAGGGCGCTCCTGGCCTGAGCCTGCCTCCAGGCTTCCACCCCCCTCCCTTGAGCCTGGGCCACCTTCCTTTGGGAACTAGGGGGCAGCTGGTAGGAAATGGAGGCCAGGAGAGATGTGTGCATTTCACTTTATCTCCCTGTAAATAGGGGACTGCGGGAAGGGGAGGAGTTGCCTGGGTGGCACTCCCTCCTGGTATTCGCCTGGCCCAACCTTGTGGCAGAATAGATGCATTTTTAGGCTATTTTTATAATATGGCTTCTGGTCACAATCCCTGTGTAGCTGAATTCCCAGGTCCTGCATTGTACAGCCCCCACTCCCCTTACCACCTAATAAAGGAATAGTTAACACTCAGTGTCATTGGTCTGTGTCTAGGTAAGGTGGGGAGTGGTGGTGGCAGGGCTTCTGTCCCCCGACTAACTTTGGGGTAAACCCATTTGTCTTGCCTGCCTAGTCATGCTTTCTCTTATGGCAGGTGGCTCCACTGATGGTCTCCTGACTTAAGATCAGCCAATAAGATTCCCTTGCTTGAGACCTTTCTTTAAAGGAGATGTTAAGAATTGCGATGCTTTTAAGGTCCCAGGCAGGTTAAAAACCCTTAGTGGCCAATTTGGGGTGGTGGGCACTGGTGAGCAAACAGAGAGCAGAAGATTAAAGCTAATAGGCAGGAAAATTCAGAACTGAGAGCTCAAATGGTTCCCGAGGGCTGGAGGGACTATCTCAGTTCCAGATGCAGTATCAGTTCCATTGATATCAACAAGCACTTATTAGTTGCCTTCTAAGAGCCTGATGCTGATTCTGCATGGATCTCACCTTTACTTCATGCTACCTTTGATTTTGGTGCTAACCTTGCACCCATGTAATAAATACTTCTTTACATATGCCACCTTGGGTGGGTTTCTGTTTCTTGCAACCTATTTTGCTCCAAGACAACGTTATGTCTACACTGGGGCCCTCCAGAAAAGGAGGATGGGATTTAACGTCCATTGATTCTCCGTGCTGGTGGGAGTGCTCTTGGTTGCAAGTAACACAAAAGTAACTCCACTGGCTTAAACAAGAAAGGGGTTTAACTCATAAATAAAAAGGACCAGCTTCAGGGAAGACTTGATCTAGTGGTCAAATGAGGTCAACAAGGGCTGAGTTTCTCTTAATCTCTACAGCTTTTCTCTGGGCATCAATTTTATCCTCAGGCTCCATGTGGTACCCAAACCAGTCTCTCTTTCCCACCCCATCCCTTCCTCTGTGCTAGCAAAATAGGTGCAAAGGTCATAGACCATTTTTCACTTTCTAGGAACAAGAGAAGCTTCAGTCTTGGGGTTGATTTTCTATTGGCTCTGTTTGGGCCGTGTATCTATCCATCCTCTAACCTAGACTTTCTCAACATGAGCACTATTGACACTTGGTGCCAGATCATTCATTGCTGTGGGGAGCTGTCCTGTGTACTGTAGGATGTTTAACAGCATCTCTGGCCTCTACCCATTAGATACCAGCAGCACCCCCTCCTCAGTTAGGTGACAAAAATATGTCTAGACATCGCCAATTGTCCCCCAGAGAGCAGAATCACCCCTGGTGAAAACCTCTGCTCTAACCAATCACTATGGCAACGAGATATGGAACATGCTATTTTCCTAAAGCATTCTTTATAGTCTGCTCTGTAACTGAGTGTGGGGTAAATTTAGAGGCAATTGCGTCTTCAGAAGCATGAATTCTGTGGAAGCAACTAATAAATGTTCACTCCACCTCATCTCCTCCTTTGGCTAAGTCTTTGAAGATGGACAAGTCTTTTACATTTTTATCTCAGATGTGTTTTATTTTTGTTCATCTGATCTCTACATATTTATTAAGCACCTACTATGTGCCAAGTCTTGGACATGTGCTTGGGAGTTGAATGATGAATTATATAGGATCATTCTCTTGCTCTTATGTCATTTCAAGATAGTTAAAAGATGTTTAGGGGTGGCCCTTTACGTCCCTTTAGACCCTATTATTTCAGTATATGCTGACAGTGTCTGACTGAACACCTGAGATCTTCCACCTGGGGACTTTCTCTTGTGTGGGGCAGGGACAACCCTCAATAAATGAGGGAGGGGTGGGAGTTGGTGCATCAGTACCCCAGCTTTCTCACCCCTCTGGGTGCAACTCTGGGGTGTGATCCACAGAGTCTCTTGAAGGATGCCCATTGGGATTGAGCCCCAGTTGTCCATAGCAGCCACCTGTTCTTCCTCATTCTCCTACTGGAACTTTCTGGAATGATCTCAAATTCCTTGCATTTGAATCCTTGGCTGGAGAGAAGTCCATCTTAGCTGTGTGCATAAATGGATTCTTGGGAGTAAACACTAAAATATCTGTTGGTGCTCGAGCAAGTTTGGGGATCCTTCTTCCTGATGCTGTACAAACAAAGAGAAAGTCATTCCCCCCACCCACGTTTTCCACTCTATCCTGCAACCCTGGCTTTATGTAAACAGGACATTGGAGAAGAGGGTCCCACGGGACAACCCACTTTCGCACCTGGTGGAGCTGAGGTATTTGTAGGCACATGCGAGACTCCCCCACTCTGGGGGCTCCCTGAATGGTTGAGGGAGGCATGTTGTGGGGGGCTTAGAAGCCTGCATCGGTGACCAGGGAAAGTGAGGGAATGGGACTCGAAAATTCATGTGCATGTGGCTTCATTGGCACTCAGAGGGTGGGAAGGCTTGGGGACTTTGGATCTGACGTCCTAGTTGGCGTCTTGCCAGAGAGGACAATGATAGAACAGCTGAGTGTCTGCTGTGGGTCCACATCTGTCCTCATCCCTCTCCACCCCGCTGTGTGCTCTGGGAGATGACCTGGGTAGACGGCAGCAAGGGGCTCCCTCACGGTCCGGCTTCCACGTGGGTTTGGCTCATGACAGGCACAGGTGGGAGAGGAGAGGGTGGGTTGTTTATTTCCCTGGCTCCCTGGGGAGCTGTGGTGCTCCCTGCATCCAGCCACTCTATGAACTCAGGTAATTTTTTCTCTTTG